ACCCCAAAGGCTAGAATTTTATTGTCCTCTAAGACATGAACCAATTTTGAATCGAACTTTACAATCTTATTTGAACATCTCTTTTCCACTGACTTTTTAATCAGTTCCTCATACCCTCACTGAATCAATTTTGTTATTCTGCTAGTTCCCTCATTAAATGAGTTCAGCAAAATGTAGATACATGCTCTCTATGTGCATGTGTTTAATAATGTAAGAATTAGAGTTTGATGGTTTCTGGGCCTAACAGTGGAATCATCTCTAGGAGACTGAGTTCTGTGCTTTAGAGCTCTCACCAGTCATACTCCTAGGGCAGCTACACTAAGACACCAAGATTAGTTCAGTCAGATCATGTGAGGCACATGAGGCTCAAAGCACAAGTGTGACACCTTCCCTTCATAGAGACCACAGCTTTACACAGAGAAAAACCTACTGGTTGAGAACAAGGCCAGCAAATGCACTCCTACATGTGTGTCTGTGTGTGTGTTTGTTACCAGTCTTGAGCCCAGGGCAAAATTCACACACTCACACACACACACACACACACACACACACACACACACACACACACATATATACACATATGAGAAATGAGTGCTTCTGCCCAAAGAAGACAAGAATGTTCAGAACCTTTATTCATAAAATCCCCAATCTGGAAACAACTGAAATGCCTATTGACAGGAAAATGGATAAACACATTTTAGTGTGTTATCATGGGTTACTTTACAACAAGAACAAAATACTGAACAAAGTACTGATGCATGCAATAACATTTTGTTGTACAAAAGATGCCATATATAGAAGAGCACATATTGGGGGGCTGAGGATATACTTCAGTTGGTAGATATACCGCATACCCTGGGTTCAATCCCCCAGAACCCCCCTACACACACACACACCAAGAGCATATATTGTATGAGACCATATATGTGAAATTCAAGTACAGGCAATACTAACCTATGATAACTTATTACCTAGGAAGACATGAATGATTAGACAAAAGTATGATAGAAGTTTATGGACAGATAGAAATAGCATTGATCTGGATAGTGGTTACAGAGGTATACTCATTACAAAAACAAAAATCATTCCCAGTGACTCGGGAGGCTAAGACAGGAGGATCACATGTTCAAGGCCAGCCTCAGCAATTTAGCAAGGCCCTAAGCAAGTTAGTGACATCCTGTCTCAAAATAAAGAAATAAAAAGGGTTGGAGATATGGTTCAGTGGTTGGTTAAGCATCCCTAGGTTCAATCCAGTACCAACAACAACAACAACAAAAATCATGCACTCTAATGACTCATACATTTTATTCTATGTAAATTTCATCTTAAAATGAATTTTTTAAAAAATTTAAAGAGAGAGCCAGGTGTGGTGACACACTCCTGTAATCCCAGCAGCTCAGGAGACTGAGGAAGGAGGATCGTGAGTTCAAAGCCAGCCTCAGCAACTGCAAGGCGCTAAGCAACTCAGTGAGACCCTGTCTCTAAATAAAATACAAAATAGGGCTGGGGATGTGGCTCACTGGTTGAGTGCCCCTGAGTTCAATCCTCAGTACCAAAAAAATAAAATAAAGAGAGGAGATAAAGAAAAACATATTCCAAAAGAAGTAGGTACAGAAAGGATTTGAAAAGATTCTTCCACATTTACATTTAATAAATGAGAATTAAAAGAGGGACAAATCCAGAAGGCCACATGGGCCAACAGATTGCAAAGTGAGAGCTGGTAAGATTCAGATTCGTTTGTGACAATAGGATGGTCTGGTATATGGAATACCAGGAAGTATTTTTGTCTTGAAAGACTAAGACAATACAGATTTGAAGGTGGACAATGAATGCCAGCTCTGGGAGAACATGCTCAAATGGGACACTGAGTAAGGGTCTGATAAATGAATTCAGAAAATTCTTAAGGAAGGCTCTCTAACAGTGCTAACACCAAGATAAGGGCATAAAAATGAATGAAGGGATTCCACAAAAGTACCTCATTCAATCCAGGGACAAATTATTCTTAGTTTAAATATAATCTACATAAAATCGCTTTCAAAACTGTACACCTATGCTAATATGACTGTTACTAACTAAAGACACCTTTTATGCTTTTAGAATTCTCTATGGGAGTGTTGGTTATTGTTAAACTCTACTGCATCCACCTACTGAATTTTCAATTATAGGCCTGAGGGTGAAGACTTAAAAATGGACTCAGCCATCTGAAAGCATCAAAGTTTCTTTTTCTACCAAATGTGACAGCCACAAGTAATGCAGCCCCAACCATTCCTGCCACATCCTTTCTTCCCTGCATGGAATGAGTACCTCCCAAGAACATAAGTTCCCTTCACTGCACAAGGGCTCAAGCCAAGGTTCCACAACAACTGATTAGTCAAGAGCCAGGAGAGTCAGGCCCAGGGAAAAGGGCCCGAAATAGGACCTGCAGCACACTCACTAGGTAGCTGCCACTGTACTAAAAGATTGTCAGTGCTGTGTCATTTAATCCTCAAAGTAGTTGGGAGGTAATTAGGCTCTCAAAAAGAAATGACACACCCAAATTAGGGTAATCTGAGGTGGGACTAATAAAGAGACTCATATGAAATAGGTGAGATATTTTAAAAACCCACAGCAATAGCCAAGGGTTAGGGACAAAGAGCCACCAGATCTGCAAGGATGCAGGGACAGGTGTGTGGAGGAATACAGACTGAATAGGAACAGCCACCTCTCTGGTAAGGGACACAGGCAGCCAAAGTGGTGATCCATGACCTCACTAGCCTCCTCCCTCCCTGCCATCTCCTACCAGGGCTCCCCTTAAGCCAAGGCCCATGGGAGGCAGGAGCCACTGCTGAGGGCCCACCCTACCTAGCCCAAAGCAATGCAGGTAGGGCAATGGAAGATGTCATGGCAAAAAGGACCACATCACCCTCCTTCATAGGGAAGGAGTTTTTTGGTCCCCAGAAAGGGGACCCTAGATGAGGAGGAGGGTCACCTTCTAGACTCTCTGTGGGCAATTCCTGCCTTGTCTTTCCCAGCCATCTTCCATAACCCCTTGTAGCATAGCCTTGAGTCCAGGGAAAAATCCATAGGTGTTTACCAATGCCTTCTCAGATTCTGTGGATTTGTGGTTTGAAATGAGGGAGCACTATGCCAACAGGACATGTTAAAGGCTTTCAGAATAGGGCCTGCCTTCAAAACTGGAGCTGATGCTACAGTCCCTGCTCCATCCCAGGCCTCTCCTCTCTCTCTTTCTGACAGCCCTCCTCCTTCCCAGGGTCCTCTTTTCTCTTTCTTACAGTCCTCCTCTGTCATTACTTCCACCTTTGTCTTCACTCCAACCATTGTCCCTTTTATCCGGGAAAACCTTCTTGTCACAGAAGAATTAGTTCAACTTCAAGAACAGTCCCTTCCTAAAATTTTATTTGGAAAGGCAAAAGAATTACTTCCCATTTCCACATCAACAGAGTTAATTCGTGGTGGCCTGGAAATGTTTTTCTAGTCTTAAAATGGAAGAGAAGCCAGGCGGGGTGGTGCACACCTGTAATCCTAGCAGCTCAGGAGGCTGAGGCAGGAGGATCACAAGTTCAAAGCCAGCCTCAGCAACTTAATGAGGTCCTAAGTAACTTGGTGAAAACCAAAATATAAAAAAGGCTGAAGGGGTTGGGATTGTGGCTCAGTGGTAGAGCGCTTGCCTAGCATGTGTGAGGCACTGGGCTCAATCTTCAGCACCACATATAAATAAATAAAGAAAAGGTCCATTGGCAATTTAAAAAATATTTTTAAAAAAAGGCTGGGAAGGAATATGGCTCAGCAGTTAAGTGCCCCTGGGTTCAATTCCCTGGGTTCAATTCAGAGAGAGAGAGAGAAAGCTGTTGGAGTCAAGCACAGGGTGCGAGGTCTATACTACTACCATTGTAGAAAGCAGTGTTTATCAGCATGTTACTAACAAAAAGCCCCCCAGTTTTCTGTATACCAAAAAGAAAAGAAAAAAGAAATGCTAGCAGGAACACCCAGAAACAGGATCCTAAAGACTGAGCTAGGTTCCTACATTTTTGAGACTTAACACAGTACAAGGTAGAGGACCTAGGGGCTGGCAAGCCCAAAGCATATCATATGTTTTTCATCAACACTCCTTGTCCCGAAATCCTTCCACTAGGCCCATGGGGCTCCTTTGAGAGCAGGGCCACCTGTTAATGGGCCCATATTACCTGTCTCAAGCAGCCAATGCACACTGTTTGGTATGCCCAGTACTACAGAGAATGCCAAAGAGAACCTAAGGATTTCTGTATGCAGCTCTTCATACCAAGGACAATCTCCTCTTCTCCAATGTGAGATGGGAAGTTTATAGTACTAGTGCTTTTAGATGTAGCTAGTATTTCCCATAAGGAACAGCTTCCAGGTGATCCCTTTTTTTACCCAGCAATTTTGAACTAGTATTTATAGCTATATAATATGTAATTTATTAATGATAATGTGATATACTTTTGTAAGTAAGTGCTAGATGACTTTGGCAAAGGACATAATTTTCAAAACCTTACTGGAGAAATAGGTTTTGTTCAGTGCCTCATGGACATAAGGAATAAAAAAATAATAATATAATAAGATAATATAAATATAAAAGTAGAAAATATAGCATTGTTCAGATTCTGTATTTAGTTTGATTGCTACTTCATGTAAGTGGTCAAAACTGACCATGGAATGGAAAAGGAAAAACTTCTTTGAAACTCTTAAGGCAAATAAATAAGTACATAAATAATTTAACAAGCTTTATATTTTTCTAGCATTTTCTAAGAATTGATACACAGTTTGGGAAGAGATAATTCTGGGCCTTAAAAAAGCCATTTCAAAACAGGTATCCCAGATATCAAGGGCAAAACTACACATGGTCTTCTTGATATCACCCAGGAGATCAAATTGTCAACATAGCCCCTAGAAGTCCCATGCAATTCATCCTCAAATACCCCACAGCCTTTGTTCAGAGAGCCCACAAAGGAGACAGGAAAAGGGTTTTGCTTTGTACTCACTCTTACAAAGTTGTCAGGGAACAAACCTCTCCTGCCGTTGATCTGTCCCTCCCACCAGCCTCCATCCTCCTTCCTGATGTTGGTGATGACCTCACCCACGCTGATTGTCAGCTCATCGTCGTGCTGGGCCTGGTAATCAAACTCCACTATGGCCTCCACTGGAAAAGACAGAGAAAAAAGAGCAAGTTAGATCAGATGTTACAGAAGTCTGAGGCCCAGCATCCCCGGAAGGCCAGTAGAGTCATATTAAAGGGATTTCCCCTCTACAAATATTTAAAATAATAAGGCCATACACAGCAACCCAATTTTGGTTAACCTAAAGCCTAAAGAACAGAAACCACAAAGTGCTGGTCGTGGTCAGACTCGGGCAGAGTGGCCTACTGGTCTCAGGGACAACAGGGACTTCAGAGGGGAAATCTCACAATAGCAGCTTAAAAAGATCTGCCCCACCGAGGTGGAGTCCAGTCTCATTTCCCTGAAGACAGAGACTGCAGTGCTATTAGATGCTAACCTTCCTAGGCCTCAGTTGTGTAAAATATGGACCATAATTCCCACGCAACAGAGATATTACCTATCTCTCAAGGACAATGTGTAAAGATGACTGGTATAAATAGCCAGGCTGGTGAAACCAATGTCTCAGACTGCTACTCAGAACCACAACTGCACCAGGTGTAGTGGTGCACACCTATAATCCCAGCAACTCGGGAGGCTGAGGCAGGAGGATCATGAGATCAAAGCCAGCTTTAGCAACTCTATTTCTAAATAAAATACAAAAAAGGGTTGGGGATATGACTCAGTGGTAACGTACCCCTGGGTTCAATCCCTGGTACAAAACACACACACACACTCACACACACACACACACACACACACACACAATTGTCCTCTCAACAGATAAATTCTTAGGCAACAATACCATGTTACACTGTCTTCCCATCCTAAACAAAGTATCTCTTATACTTGATAATAGGTGGAGTTAACAGGCTAGAAAAATGGATTTTCTCATTGACAAAGTGCCAATGCAAATTAGCAGAGCCAAGCAATCCAGAGATTAGTTAATTTATCCACAAGTTGATTATATAATTTATTGAGAATTTGGGCTCTTCCTCATGCCTACCTCAATACACACCAATCTCCATACCTTTTCCTTTTTCATTTGCAGCTCCATATGAATGAATGAATACAAAGATAGCAAAAAATTAGATGAGCCCCAAGTGGTAAATTAGCAACTCTGAAGTTATGATAAAATAGTGGAAAAGTTAAATGATCTTTATTTTTTAAAGTGCATGTACTAAAACTAACGGAAATGGGTTACAGATCTAAATGTAAGAGCTCAAATTGTAAATCTTTTTCTTTCCTTCTTGGTTTTTTATTAACATGTAATAATTATACTTAATAATGAGGTATATATAGTGTGATATTTTAACACATGCACATAGTGTGCACTGATCAAATCAAGGCAATTGGCATTTCCCTTTCCTTGTCATTTCATTTGGAGCCTTCAAGTGCCTCTTTTCTAGATCTAAGAGAGCATAAAAGAAAACTGTAATGACATTGGCTTTGGCAAAGATTTCATAAATAAAAGACAAAAGGCACAAATGAGCAACAAAAAAATTAATTCATTGAGGTCAGTTTTCTAAACAAACAGCTGGCAGGTGAGTGGGTCCCCATCACAAGGGCTTTGCATATCTATTAGCGCTAAGTTCCCAAGGCACTGCCATTTCAGAATATCCTATCCACTCAGACTCTCCACTCAATGTCAGCTAAACCAGCCAGTCATAAGCAACTCAAAGTGGAATTTCCTTTCCCAAGATCATAGTTTCATCCCAAAATTAGCTGACTCACTCCAATGTCATAAATATGCTCAGGATGAGGTTGAGTAGTGACCCACTGTCATCACTTATCAATGGAAAGGAGTGTAAGAGCAGAAACAAGGTAACCTTTTTCAATATCTCCTAGTTCCTAACAAGCATGCAGGCAGAAACATTCCCATCTTCTTGTGTAGGGTTCTGTTCCCCAGCGGTTAAAATGAACCATCCTAACAACTGGAATGGTTAAGAAACAGCTTTCAGAGCACTGGGGTTATAGCTCAGTGGGCTGGGGTTGTGGCTCAGTAGTAGAGCACTTGCCTAGCATGTGTGAGGCACTGGGTTCAATCCTCAGCACCACATATAAATAAATAAAGGTCCATCAACAACTAAAAATTATTCTGAAAAATAACAATAAAGGTATTATATCTATCTATAACCAATATATTAAAAAGAAACAGCTTTCAGTTGGGCATAGTGGCACACACCTGCAGTCCCAGATACTAGGTTGAGATGGGAAGATAACCTGAGCCTACAAGTTAGAGACCAGCCTGGGTACACAGCCCAAGACCTCATCTCAACGGGGGGAAAAAAAACAGCTCTCTAGCTCTCTTCAAATAACCTAAAGATGGATCTATGGAAGTTTTGCCATAGGAACTGAAGTCCCAGTAACCACTATGCATGCACCAAACACTGCTTTCCACATCATCCCATTTCCTAATTAAACAATATGATGCCCAATGAAAGAACCTGAAGCTCAGCCCAGGAAGTTAAGTTCATTTTCTGAGTCACTACTCTCCAAAGTGGAATGGAGCCACTTCAGGGATCCACTGAGATGAGAGGAGAAAAAGTACATCTGTTCATTTTAATTTTAAAAAGTAAAAAAAAAAACAACAAAAAACATAACTTCCACTTACAGAATGATACTGGCTCCTTCACTTGGTTTCCAGTTCAGAAAGTCAGGGATCTTTCAAGGGACAGGAAGTAGCCTGAGAGACAGTGGAACCAAGGAGCATTGAACAAGGAGACCTGCTAGAGCAAGCACCAGCTTCCGCACTGTTGGGTGCTCTCCAGTTCTGTGATGACTCCAGGTAAAGCCGCTTTATGAACCTTACCCCTTTAAACTAAAATTGCCCTCACTAAATGGATTATGGGCTTGAAAAGATTTGTGTGAAGAAAGTAGGAGTTAAGACAATACTTAACTAGGATCTAAATAGATAAGAAAATGGCTGAGCCGCCACTTCAGCTCTTGGTGAGAGTTTTTTACCAGCCACATTTGGAGGTGAACACAGGGACAAGACAATCACATCTTACAGGGAGATGACCACAGGATTCTCATAATCAACACAATTTGTATCATGGGTTTACTCCCACCTCTGATGTAGGTGTAAATGTTGAGTTATCAGTATTAGTAAGATTTAAAAACTATGTGCCTGAGCCATGTAGAAAATGTCTTTGGTTTCCCCCAATTTATAGCCATACAATACTTAATCTGCTGTTTCCCAAAAGTTCATCAAACCTAATAATAAAGGTTTAGGAGGGGTTTCGTTAATCTTAAGTTAGTACAGTAACATACAATCACACGCCATGAAATGATGCTTCAGTCAATGATGGACCACATATATGATGGCAGTCTAATGAGACCATATCACTTAGTGATGCCATAGCCATTTTAGTTCATGTAAGCACACTCTACAGGATTCACACAATGGAGAAATCACCTAATGTTTTAACCACAGGTACCCTTTTTGAAACAAGAAATGAAAAGGCTTGGAAAAGTAGGCTCTCAAGGGCCAATTCCATTAGCACATGAAGAGGAGGGATTCCTGGTGGGTGGTGCTGAAGGAAACTGCCCACTGGCATGCCTTTGCAATGTGAGAGGAGAACAGAGAAGCTTCTAAGAAGAGGTCTGGGCCTAGAACCTCTCGATGGTGAACTTAAACCCTATGTCCTCTCAGGGACTCAGGACCTGACCAACTTATGGAGTACAGCCTTGTTTCTTCCTCCCTAAACAGCAAGCTGCATTTTCTCTGTCCTCTATATGAATATGATGCCCAATAAAAGAATCTGAAGCTCAGCCCAGGAAGTTAAGTTCATTTTCTGAGTCACTACTCTCCAAAGTAGGATGGAGCCACTTCAGGGATCCACTGAGATGAGAGGAGATACCAAAATAAAGTTGGAAGATAAAGAAAATTTTGAATTCACTTTAAGTAGATGGCTACTGAGAAGTAAACAGCTGCTGCCTGATACACCCAACCAGAGAGGTACACATCCTGAAATTTCTTCAATCTCTCATTCAGTGACCCAAGGGTAAGCCTTAATAGATGCCTCCTATGACCAAGGCTAGGGATTAGGGATTGGGGACTCAAAGATAAATAGAGTATAACTACATAATATTTGAGTCTTGCATCCAATATCCTATCTAGCTGGTCTTTCCTGATTTACCCTTTCTTTATTTTTATTTTTTATTTTTTATTTTTAAAAGAGAGAGTGAGAGAGGAGAGAGAGAGAAAGAGAGAGAGAATTTTTAATATTTATTTTTTTAGTTCTCGGCGGACACAACATCTTTGTTGGTATGTGGTGCTGAGGATCAAACCCGGGTCGCACGCATGCCAGGCGAGCGCGTTAACGCTTGAGCCACATCCCCAGCCCTACCCTTTCTTTAAACTCCCAATTTAGCCCTAAATTTTCTTAAACATAAGTAATCACATGAACCCTCCCTGCCTCCTGACCACCCTGCCTATGACTGCATCCAACCTAGCTGCCTGGCTCCTCCAGCTCCCAGGCCTCCCTAGCCCTGCCACTGAGACCACCATCTGATGCTGAGAAGGCTTATGCATATGTCCTCCAAGTAGGCATCTAAATGCCTTCTGGGTATGAAATCACCCTTATTTCCCTTCTGGCCCCCTGTGACAGTGCAATAGGTGCTCAGTGCGGGCTTCATAACCACACCACTCAGCTTCCATTTTATAATGGCAGATAGTTCTCTGCCCAACAAAGGTGCTACTAAAATGTCAAGTGTCAATCACATTTTTGCAAATTGAGTCATATTCTTCAGTGCACTAAGGGAGTTTGCTATTTAAAAGATCCTGCGGTTGATTCTTTTGTAACATGAATAATCACTTCCTGCTTTACTTTTCCTGTCAAGATGAATTTTTTTATATATTAGGTTTCTCTAAGGGTAGAAAACCTATGCAGAGTTTCATTAAGAGCTCCTATATCATGAGCTATATCTCCCCTACCCCTTCTAAGGGCCCTTTCCTATGTTCTCTGCAGGATTTTGAAGAGTTTAGGACTTTTCTGTCCAATACAGTATCACTAGCCACTGTCTGAATGGAGATGTGCTCTAA